TCAGGTTTCAGTCCTTCAGCCTCTATGTACTTCTGGAAATCATGCACATATTTTTCAGCCGCCTTGTGGTCCAAACTGGCAGCCTCACCATGCCTTACCACACTGTGTATGCCAGTACGGTTCTTAAATCTCTCAAACCAGCCTTTGCTGGCCTTAAATTCCACTCACTTCACCACTATTTGCAGGCAATTTCTTTACCAAATCTTCATGCAACTGCCTAGCCTTTTCACAAATAAACGAAGTCATAAGAGTATCTCCTGCTAATTGTTTCTCATTTATCCACACCAATAATAACTTCTCAACCTCTTCCAGTACTGGTGATCTCATTTTTGTCAGCATAGTTACTCCCTTTGCAACAACAGCATCCTTTATTTCATTTTTCTTGGCCACTATGGAACATAAGGTTGTGTAGGGTTTCTTATACATCCTGGACAGTTCAGCCACACTTGTACCACTTTCATATTGTTCAATGATGGTTTTCTTAAATTCAATCGTATTTCTCACCTTCTTTACCACAGCTTGGCACTAGGAGCTTTCTTTGGAGCCATGGTAGCTTATTTAGTACTTGCAAGCACTAAAATAAATGGAATATTATGAAATAATTTCGCTGGAGCACGCGAGGGGACCTTCGCTCACTGGTAAACAATGCCAGACTGGCTGCCGCCTTGGCCCACGCCGTGCGTACGCGTCCCGGACGAACTACGACTCGCGAGTCAACCTATGAAAAGCGAGTCCATGTTTATACGAAAATACCCCTATGATTGGCGAATTTTACGATGCCGGGAACTACGAAAAGTGGGGGACCACTGTAAATTAATTAATAAAAAAGATATATATAGAAAAATAATTTTTCAAGTAAGATACATATTTTCAATAGGTGAGATGGAAGATGAAGTCACGGTAAGAGATAACATTCTAACATCCCTACTCTAGTTGTACAGAAATTGTACAAGTCCACTACGGGAAACTGATCAGGACACGTCTAGCTCTAGGCGTCGGTGGTCTTGCTGAATCAGTTGAGTTCAAGCTTTCGGGGGAAACTGGGACGTATTTCGTATACTCTTGGAGATTTGTGTTTGAAAATAGGCAACAGATATTTGAGAACTGCGGCAACATATATGAAAGTAACGACTTAACTGTTGCTTCTTGTGGAAGCTAGCTGGATGGCTAGTTTTACTTGAAACCAAAGTGCAGTCAAGTATTGTCCATTATGATGGATCGATTTGTGGTTAAACAAAACGCAATAGGAAGAACAGCAATCCCAGGCCCGACCAGGAGAAAAGGAGCATTAAGTAAGTTTGGTCTTTATTTTGCTATTAATAACAAGATAATGCAGGCTAATATTACCATGTCTAATTTTTCTCATTTACTATACTGCACTAGCAGCTCAGTACTACTTAATTTAGTTGAGTTACGCTAACTTGCAGTAGCTGCAGCTCTCTCAATCAATGTTTTTAAAACCGAAGTGGCTCTCTTGCAAAAATTAGTGAATAACACTGCTTTAAATAAATGTACATTGGTACAGTGGATCACTGAAATCTCAGCTTACTTATTAGTCTGCTGGCCATTTTGTACATGTGAACATGAGAGTCAACTAATTGTGAAAATAAGGAAAATTTTTTGAGAATGAAATTAAAGCAACAAAAAAAATCTGGAGAACATATAAAGAAAATGGTATTCACCTTATCCTTTTATTTCCCATTGAAAATAAGGCAGTATATAGTACTGAATAGAAGCATCATATTTGTTGACATATGATGGATGTGTGTCAAGCTGCATCAATGGGTGTAGAAAGTGATGCATCTGCATCAAGCTGAGTGTCGAAATGTGATGTATCAGCATCAAGCTGAGTGTAGAAAATGTGATGCATCTGCATCAAGCGAGTGTAGAAATGTGATGCATCTCAATCAAGCTGAGTGTAGAAATGTAGCATCTGCATCAAGCTGAGTGTAGAAATGTGATGCATCTGCATCAAGCTGAGTGTAGAAATGTGATGCATCTGCATCAAGCGAGTGTAAAATTTGATGCATCTGCATCAAGCAGTGCGAAATGTGATGTATCTGCATCAAGCGAGTGTAGAAATGTGATGCATCTGCATCAAGCTGAGTGTAGAAATGTATGCTTCTGCATCAAGCTGAGTGTAGAAATGTGATGCATCGCATCAAGCTGAGTGTAGAAATGTGATGCATCTGCATCAAGCTGAGTGAGAAATTTTGATGCATCCTGCATCAAGCTGAGTGAGAAATGTGATGAAATCTGCATCAAGCTGAGTGCAGAAATGTGATGAAATCTGCATCAAGCTGAGTTTTAAGAAATTGATGCATCTGCATCAAGCTGAGTGCAAAAAATGTGATGCATCTGCATCAAGCTGAGTGTAAAAATTTGATGCTCTGAAATAAAAGCTGAGTGCAAAATGTGATGCATCTGCATCAAGCTGAGTTTTATAAATTGATGCATCTGCATCAAGCTGAGTGAAAAATGTGATCATCTCATCAAGCTGAGTGAAAAATTTGATGCATCTGCATAAAAGCTGATGCAGAAATGTGATGCATCTGCATCAAGCTGAGTGAAATTGATGCATCTGCATCAAGCTGAGTGACAGAAATGTGATAAAACTCATCAAGCTGATGCAGAAATTTGATGCATCTGCATCAAGCTTAGTGCAGAAATGTGATGCATCGCATCAAGCTGAGTGCAGAAATGGTGTTTGCACCCGGGGCAAATCAAGCAAGCTGAGTGCAGAAATGTAAATCATCTGCATCAAGCTGAGTGCAGAAATGTGATGCATCTCATCAACTGATGCAGAAATGTGATGCATCTGCACAAGCTGAGTGCAGAAATGTGATGCATCTGCATCAAGCTGAGTGCAAAAAATGTGATGCATCTACATCAAGCTGATCAAAAAATGTGATGCATCTGAAATAAAGCTGAGTGCAGAAATGTGATGCATCTAAAATCAAGCTGAGTGCAGAAATGTGATGAAATCTACATCAAGCTGAGTGCAGAAATGTGATGCATCTGCATCAAGCTGAGTGAAAGAAATGTGATGCATCTGCATCAAGCTGAGTGCAGAAATGTGATGCATCGCATCAAGCTGAGTGCAGAAATGGTGATGCATCTGCATCAAGCGAGTGCAAAAAATGTATGCATCTGCATCAGTGCAGAAATGTATGAAAAGAGGGGTTGATTAGAAAAGCCTGAGAAGCAGGGAATACCTGTTCCTATATTCAGATTATATTTGTATTAAGAAGTGCTAGTCCTGCATCATGGTTGAATGTGGGAACACAATACCACGGGGTTGATTGCTGCAAATCATCCAAGTCCTCACTAGCATTCAGAGGAGGGGATTCGGGTGATCAAATTTTAAAATAAAGGCAACAGTGTGCATTGTTTCATATTGTTTATGTTTCACAAATGCATCCCATACCTAGTTATCACCAGATTTTTGGTTTAAACCCTTGAACTATCTTTTACATTCCATAAAGTCATGCTTTCCACCAAAAGAGCAACACACTCCTGCATTTTTCATCTTCACTAGTTTGCCCTCGAGTTGACGACTGCCTTAACGATATGGGCATCACGTTTTAAATACATTATTATATCTACAGTTTTTTAATCAGTCCTCCACTAAGGAAAGTGAGTGAAGCCACCAATATGTATAAAATATCAATTCTACAGTATTTGGTGAATAAATAATGGCAAAAAATATTTCAACACTATATTGAATTTGACTCACGAAATCGTAATACACGATTGCAAATGAACCATACCACGTGTGGGATAGAACCCACGATCAGAGAGTCTCAAAACTCCAGACCGTCGTATTAGCCACTGGACCAGCTAGCCACAATAAGATCGTCCAACTATTAATTTCTACACCATAGGAAGGTTAGCATAGGGACCACTGTCACCACAAATGCAAGTTTTACAGACGAATCTCCAGCTAGCGTGGCCGTGACAAGCCTAGCTCAAGTCCCCTCAAAGCCGTCAACATGACTCACGAAATCGTAATGACACGATTGCAAACAAACCATACCACGGGTGGAATAGAACCCGCGATCAGAGAGTCTCAAAACCCCCAGACCGTTGCGTTAGCCACTGACCAGCTAGCCACAATAAGATTCGTCCAATTAGGTATATTTCTACACCATAGGAAGGTTAGCAAAAGGCACCATTGTGACACAAAAGCAAGTTTTTAAAAGACGAATCTCCAGCTAGGCGTGGCCGTGACAAGCTCTAGCCAAGTCCCCTCAAAGCCATCAACATGACTCACAAAATTGTAATGACACCCATTGCAAACAAACCATACCATGGCGAGGATAAAAACCCACAATCAGAGAGTCTCAAAACTCAACGCGACGGTCTGGAGTTTTGAGACTCTCTGATTGCGGGTTCTATCCCCGCTCGTGGTATGGTTTATATTGAATTCAACATTAATTATTTTTAAATCTATAGTTCTTAACTAAACTACATTAAACAATTATCAACTCTTCACATCTATGTAAAATGAGTGTACACAGAATACGATTGTATTAATGTAAAAATACCATAAGAGAAAAATTAATTTATAGAAAATAATTTTTTTGAAAGCTTGGCACTTGCTAGTAACTGAACTTCCATAACATTTCCCTACAAAGACGCATCATTCAGCATGGTAACCTATCATGTATTATGAGTGATACATGAATGGCTAGTTGTTTGTCTAGTACTCAATGATTTGTATGGTATTTTTGTATGTAAATTTAGTATCAGATATTTTGTGTAGAAACGTCAACATTCTTCCCTGAGAGTTTCTCATTTCCAAGTACTGTACTAAACCAGAATTTTGCAAGTTTGAGGTTTTGGTGTTCACTGTACTGATATCAAAAAAGTCATTTGGGTTTCTGTAGTAAATCTACCTTTTTTAAATTATACATACGTAGTTTTATTACTGTTATATGTGGGAATACAGCATTTGGCATCAGTACTGTAATAATTTACTTCTGTTGTGCCCATTACAGGACAGCCTCCTATGGGAAGAGCAGTGCGAGGTGAAGGGATTCTGAACACAAGTGTATCTTATTACCTTCCATATGGGATATTAATACAGGATCCTAATCCTGAGGAAGAGTGTTTACAGGCACAAGTAGAGGTAAATGATCTAATTCTGTTCTAACTACCAGTCATAGGTATCATCATTATTATTACCATGCTCTCACCAGTGCTATGCACTCTAAGAGAATAATACTTTCTATAAAGAGTAAGTAAACAGGAAAGGGATTAAGAATGAAAGTTTACCCTTTCACTGTCGTATAGATCCACGTCATTGACACCAGTGCCGCTCACGTAGATCAAAGTTTTAAGCACAGCTTTCTCAACTGTGTTCTGACATACTGGTGAATAGAGATGATTTTGTCAGTTTCATACTGGAAGTAGCATGAAAAAGGGCTTAAAGTAGTGTAAGTATTTGAGTTATGGCAATCTTTCCTGTGGAAGGGTAGAGCCCTTAATCCCCCCTCCCCCCATCTTGTTTTATTGGAGTGTACTAGGTCTGCTTTAGTTATTGGGACAGTCTAAATCAGGAGCCCAAGATTGTTTAACTCCCTCTCAGCATATATAAGGGGGATAACTAGTAGATCCCTGGCTGCCTTCAAAAGGGAGCTGGACAGGCACCTAAGGTCAATACCTGACCAGCCGGGCTGTGGTTCGTACATCGATTTGCATGCGGCCAGCAGTAACAGCCTGGTTGATCAGGCCCTGATCCACTGCAATGCCTGGTAATGAACTGGGCCATGAGGGTGTTGACCCCTGGAACACCCTGTAGGTATAAAATATTAATCTGAGAAATAGGGTAAAATTTTTAATTTTTCTGGCAGTGGATTGAAAATGGAGGGTAAGTGTTTTATTGGAGAGGCCTGGAAATGTGATTAATGAACAGAGGATAGATAGCTTTAGTAGCTGGAATGCCTACAGTGTTTATTTTGGTTGTTTTAAATTGGAATATGTTGAATTTTGTGTAAAATTGGCAAAATTACTGACTTCTGTGTACACTATAATTCTGCTAGTTGAATGAGTAGTTTCTTATGCTCAATTAATAGAACAGAAGGCATACTAGTAAAATAGCTACAAACTGGGTCAAATTGAATATTGGCATTGACATAAAATAGAATTCAAGGTGGGCAAAATTGTCTTTGTGCAAATTGTGCCCAGACTGGTATCATTACACCAATATAATTTCTTAAGTTTTCCATCAGATTTTGCATTTTTGGTGTCATTAACTTCAGAAAATTTTTCTAACATTTCAGAAGATAAAATAATTTTTCTTTAAATTGTGACACTAAGGGTTAACCCTTTAGGGGTCTGTCCCATAATATTACGGCTTTGAAGTCAGGGTCGGTCCCGGAATACTACGCCAAAATTCTAGTGGCTTCCAATCTTGTGAGGGAAAGCTAGTACGCCTACACATGAGATAATGGGTCTGCGTGGTCAGTGTGCACAGCATAAAAAAATCTTGCAGCACGCAGTGCATAATGAGAAAAAACTGAGACACTGTTTTTGGTGTAAAACAGTGACTTTGCAGTGTATTTTGTATGGTTTTTATGGTTGTATTCTCAGTTTCTTGGTCTCATTTGATAGAATGGGAAATATATTACAGATTTTGAATGGTTTACAGACTGAAAGTAGCTTGAAATTGAGCTTAAAGTAACAGAAATGTTTGATTTTTGCAGATGTTCCAGAGTAAACAATTTACATCACATCCAGTACCCATCAATTGGCCAGTCTTATATGCACTCATGAATGCACTGACCTTATTTAACCCCTTGACTGTCGCAACCCCCAATCCTGAGGTGTCTCCTGGTGTCACAAAATTTAAAAAAAAAAAATTATTTTTTCTTATGAAATGATAAAGAATCTTTTCCCGATTGTAATGACACCAAAAAAAAACGAAATTTAATGGAAAACTGACGGAATTATGCTCTCGCGAAGTTAGCGACCTCAGCGCTGTTTAAAAATCGGCGATTTCGCCCACTTTGAGCCATATTTTCGGCTAATTCTGTTGTTCCAGCCGCCCAAACTCATAGCTATTTCTTTAGAATTCCATTTTTTCTATCGATTGAGTACAAGAAACTGCCCATTTACCGATTTCAACTACCTAATAATGTGGTCAGAAATTTGCAATTTGGCCAATTTCACGAAAACTAAAAAATATGACAATTTCAAAATAAGGGCCAGAATGAACAATGCAGACATTCCTGGCTCTAAAATAACATTTTCTTTGTTCATCAGTCACGTCTCCAGGCCCCTCTGATGTTACTCTTGCTTTCTATTTTGAATTTTTATTCAAACAAAAAATAGAAGACTTACTATTATGCAGACTACTGCAATGCTGTAATAACTGTATAAATAACATCAACCCATTCATGACTGCATATTAAAATGGCTAGTTAGACATTTATTGGACAATGGCATCATTTGTTTACTTTTGAACATTGGCAAAAATCAAACATTTCCCCTACTTTGAGCTCCATTTCTAGGTTCTTTTTATAGTAAAATCACTATTTCTATAATATGTTTTCCATTCTATCAAATGAGACCAAGAAAACGAGAATACAACCATAAATACTATACGAAAATAGACCACAAAGTCGGCATTTTAATTAAAAAAAACGGTCGGAGTTTTTTTTTTCTCATTATGCACTGCGTGCTCCAGGATTTTTTTTATATGGTGCACACTGACCACACAGACCCATTCTCTCACATGTGGGCCTACCAGCTTTCTCCTGCTTGATTTGAAGCCGCTAGAATTTATGAGTATATATACGTCAAACACGATACCTCGTAAGACGTATATATACGGCCGCGACAGTCAAAAGGTTAAACAGTTATTACCATTATGCAGTAATCTGAATAACAGTAAATCTTCTGTTTTTTTTGGTGTGAATAAAAATTCAAAATGAAAAGCAAGTGTTATACAAGGGGGCCGGAGATGTTACTAATGAACTGAGAAAATGTTATTTTAGTGCCAGCAATGTCTACATTATTTATTCTGGACCCTATTTTGAAATTGGCCTTTCTTGAATTTTTTGTGAAATTAGCCAAATTAGTAATTTCTGATCACTTTATTGGTTAATTGAATAGGTAAATGGGCAGTTTCTTGTACTCAGTCAATAGAATGAAAGGAGTTCTAGCTAAACACCTATGAGTTTCCTTGACTGGGACAATGGAATTGGCTCAAAGTGGGTGAAATCACCTATGTGTAAATGTCATCGAGACCCTAACTCTGTGAGAGCATAATTCCGTAAGTTTTCCATTAAATTTCATGCTTTTGGTTTCATTACCTTTGGAAAAAGATTCTCTATAATTTCATAAGTGTTTCCCCCCCCCCCCTGGGAGCAAGTTTGCGTGCGGGGGTCTCGACCCTCAAAGTGTTAATTTTTGCCCCTGTATAACTACCCTCCTTTTCCTTAGATTGAGCCTGATTGCCTCCCATTCCCTAGGAGTGCATGATAGCAACAGGTTTAGTGCTTCTCTATAAAAAATGTGATACCCGTAAGTCTTGATATTTCTATTACATTGGCTCACAAATTTTTTTTCTGATATACAGTAAACCCTCAGTATAATAGTCGTTTAAAATTATGTGCAGAATTCACTGGTTAAGTTGTATTTTTTACTTTTTTGTTTTCAGTGTTTATTGCAATATAGTACATGTATTTGTAAATTTGTGTGTACAGTACGGTGGACCCTTGGTTTTCGTGAGTCTCAGTTTTCATGAATTTTGGTTATAGGCAACTTTTTTCGTCAAATTATAGCCTTGGTTTTTGTGATTTCCCTTGGATTTCGGCAGCTGTACGGATTGTGTCCCAGTGGCATTGTTTCTCAGCGAGTGAACATTACCCTGCGAGGTAATACAAAACATTTCATAATAATACATTGTTTTTTGCACTTGTTTATTGTGTGTGACTGCTAAATAAGCCACCATGGGCCCAAAGAAAGCTGCTAGTGCCAGCCCTTTGATAAAGAAGGCAAGAAACACGAGAGAATTCAAGAAAGAACACATCAGTCAGGGTACTTTCCCACACACACCAGCCAGGGTACTTCACCATGCACACCAGCCAGGGCACTTCACACACACCAGGCAAGATACTTCCTCACACACACCAGCCAAGGTACTTACCCACACACACCAGCCAAGGTACTTCCCCACACACACCAGCCAGAGTACTTCCCAACACACATCAGCCAGGGTACTTCCCCACACACACCAGCCAGGGTACTTCCCCACACACACCAGCCAGGGTACTTCCCCACACACACCAGCCAGGGTACTTCCCCACACACACCAGCCAGGGTACTTCCCCACACACCAGACAGGGTACTTCCCCACACCAGCCAGGATACTTCCCCACACACCAGAAAGGGTACTTCCCTACACACCAGGCAGGGTACTTCCCTACACACCAGACAGGGTACTTCCCTACACACCAGACAGGGTACTTCTCCACACCAGCCAGGGTACTTCCCCACACACCAGCCAGGGTACTTCCCCACACACCAGCCAGGGTACTTTCCCCACACACACCTGACAACCCTATGCCTGTTGTGGAATCTATTGTAGCTTTGGGGAAGTCCATGGGGTTGGATGTGAGTAGCCAGGATGTGGAAGAGTTGGTGGAGTACCACAGTGAAGAGCTAACCACTGAAGAGCTGCAAGACCTTCATCTGGAGCAGCAACAGACCACAGCTGAGGAAATTGCTTCAGAGGAGGAGGAAGAGAGAGGGAAGAAGGTGCAAACGGAATGAATTGCGAAGTTTTGTGGAGAAACGTCACCCTAACAAAGCTGTTGCAGGCTGTGTCTGCAACATGTTCAATGACAACACCTTGTCCCATTTTAGGCAAATCTTAAAGAGATGCCAGAAACAGAGTTCTCTGAAAAAAAAATTTGTGTGACAGGGGTCCAGTGACTCTCAAGCTGGTCCTAGTGCCAGTAAAAAACAAAGAAGGGAAGTAACCCCCAATAAGGACTTGATACCCATAGTCTTTATGGAAGGGGCTCTGGTGGCCTGGTGGTTAACGCTCTCGCTTCACACGTGAGGGCCTGGGTTCGATTCCCAGCCAGAGTAGAAACATTGGACGTGTTTCTTTCCACCTGT